TCGCTAACGTGTGGAACGTTTGTTTGATTACGTGTTTGACTGTATATCTTTCGTCACTAGACATCTATGCGTTGCTAATAACTTATCTGTAGACATGCAGTGAAGTTGCTTAAGGATAATTTGCAGCTTTACACTGGAAAATGTTACAACATTGGGAGTCTGTATACTGTCAAGAACCCGACTGCGAAATTCATGTTGTAGTCAGAGCTTTAGTTAATTTTAGAACATTCGTTTTAACCTTAGGAACGACGTAGTTAAACTGTTGCAACGTTGGTTATAGTTGCATAGATATGATGCTTTACTAAAGGGGTGCTCCACTAGACAGCCGTGAGTCAGCCATTGCCGCACAACTTGAGAACATGTGACATCTGGAAACAGTGCATCAGAACACAGAGTCACATGCGATAATGCGGTGACTGTGACATTATATACAGATCAGTAAGATACATCGACCATTGACGTGCTAAATACCTGCACGTACTGCCATTGACGATACAGCCGTGGCTTTATACCAGCTGAATAGCATGGGTCAGCCACGATTGTACCCCACGTTGAACGGTTTCACTGGCGGGCATACTAACTGACACTCCCAAATTCGGGGACCGTATAGAGGGTCAGTCTGGTATTACGGATATGGATTCTTTCCTCGAGTTTCAGCCAATGAACTTCTCGTGTGAGAGCGGAAACGCAGCAGACACCGACCAGAAGGACAACATGCAACATGAATAACAAGATAGAGGCGGACATGCTTTGGGAAAAGATTATTTCGTTCTACTATGCAGTATCCGCTGCCTTACAGCAAAGTGATTGTAAAGCCGCGAATACCGGGGAAATCACAAATCAGAGGCGTTCCGCTTAAACAAACGGCTCTGGGTGATGATCTCAACATACGGCAGCAAAGTAGGTTCTTGAGTGATACGTTAGCGGATATGAGTTTATAGTGCACAGTAGGTGTCTTCTTATATAGACAAATCTATGAGCCATCACAAGAATTGATCTTTAATGCGACATATCAACCTGGAAAGTTGCTACACATCGGGTAAGCGATTTTTTGAGTCACATTTCATCTGAACTTCTGTTCCCAGGACCCTCTTAGAAAGTTGTTCATCGATATTTTGTTTTCACGCAATTACTCTTTTAACTTTCTTCTGGAGATAAGATCTTCTGGTTCAGTGGCGATAGGTACGAAGCTTTTCTTTATCCAAAGATTGGCACTGACTGAACGAGTTTCGGTAGATATATCAACAACTAAAACAGAATGTTCGCAACATATTCTAAATTTCCATATTCGTCTGCGGCATTCGACTGCGGTTCCATACCGGAAGGGCTAATTTCTGTTGATACACGTGCAAACAAACTTAGGCATCCAACATATCCGTTAACACAGCAAGACCCATTTTATGGTGTTCGTCATTGTCAAGGGGCCATAGAGTTTTCGGGATTGGATGATTCCTTCCTACTCCTAATCGTGATAGTCTTAACGAGATCTTAGGCGACGACGATTGCTTCCTAGTCATTCGCAGTGGACGAGTCAGCTGCATTAGAATGCCGTCGACCGGAATAGCTGACACATCCGTGGTTATTACTAGCCCGGCTGTTGTGCATTTCAAAGGATCCTCAAGTAGGGTGATTAAAAGTACCGCCATACATCAAATGGATACACTGATCATATTTCTGTTTAGGCAACTCCGTTTATGAGAAACAGTTTCTGCTAAAATGTTGCTGCGTTAAAGATTACGCATGAGATGTCAAGCGTTGTAACGAGTTAAATTATTACAAAAAATCTATCTAAATTCATTAAAAAGATTGATTCGCCCCGGAATTTTAGGATTTGACTTTTCAGCTTCGGTTTGCGAAACAAATCGACCCGTGTTTCTAGCAATATTCGTTCGTAATTCTTCCAGTTCAGGAAACTGATTAAATTCTTTCATATATTATTTCACTAGCACTTTGGAACTGTCGTCCAATTAATAAAACTGATTTTCAAATAGGTTATTCGCAGATCAAATGATACAACATATGGTCTCGCTGCTGCCGTATTCACTAAAGATATCGATAAAGCACTGGAATATGCCAGCGGGGTTCAGGCTGGAACAGTTTGGTATGAATTTCAGCAGTCAAATAGTGTTTATGTAAATCGAATAACATAGTAACCTACCGTCTCACATTAATCAGAGGAGACGGACTTTAGACTCCGCGTCGTTTCAAACGTTTATCTAAGGCTGTCTGCTGCCGGTGCTAGATTCAGTCAACTGTAGTGTGTATGAGGGCGAAATACGGTCATTAAGTGTGCGAATCAGGTGACATCACCGAAAATGGGGTAGTTGCTTACTTCGCCAAAACATCATGACGTTTCTTGTTTGCTGGCCAGCATCTTGCTGCCTGTTTCTTAGCTGGTTGCACCAAGCGTGCTGCAGTGAATTCTTTGTTCAGTGGGATTGCACCTCATAGGGAAGTTGTCTTCCGTATTCGGATTCAAACCTGTACATCTGATGGTAAGAGACAATCAACATCATCAACGTCGCTACCCTCCCTGCCAATTTTTTGGAGCACTGTCAGTGCACAGAGTTTCGCTAATATGTGCAGCGTTATTGCACTCTCCCTAGTTGCTGCATGTATGGGAGGGGGCTATGTTTTTTTGTATCAGCGCCATGGTATTGCTGCCTTTTCCATTAATCTTTTCGTGCCTGTCAGCAGTAACATTTGAATTCCGGTTGTTCCTACACTTTTGTATATGGTTCAAAATTTGCAGTGCGAAATGTATGGATAATGTGCAGGTGTCTAAATATAAACGTTCGGAATAGCTTATTACAATTTCCTGCCAATCATTGGCGCGTGGTTTGCTGGCATGCTATGCTAAGCAAAGGTTTTTATTCGTAGTTTCCGTATTGCCAACAATAAATATGGAAACCTGCTGGTCGATTAATTTTCCTATATCTCTTCTATCTAGTCCGATAATCTGCTAAATAATTACATTCACTGAATATTTCTGCGATGTTCCCTTCAGTTCATCTGTCCACCATCTTCCGCTCATTTTCAAGCCTTGCTCTTCCTTTCCAATAGCGGGAAGAGCAGTCGCAGAAAGTTTCTCAAGTTGCATCATGTTTAACTAATCGGACAGGTATTACTGGCTGCGCTTCAAGGCATCACATTGTCTTGTGTTCATAATGCTCGAGGTTCTTATCTTTGATATGCCGCTTTGGCGCTGACTAACTGGCTTTGCGAAGAAATCTTGCGAGTCTCTCATCTGGAATCCTGACCCAATGTCTTAAACATCATACTGGTGATTTACGATCTAAGATGGATTGGCACAAAGTAATCTTTGAGACAGAAAGTAATCTTTGAGCATATATTTATTACGTTTTAAACTAGCAGTATGCTAGTAAACCTATAAGGTCGGGTTTTATTTTTTTGTATATATTTATTACGTTTTGTATGAAGTCCATAAGTGAGTTTCGGTTTTAATGTTCCATCGTAATGACATAAGAAACTTATGATCTAAAATTTCATCTTAAACACGTTCGTCAGTAAAACTGCAAAAATACATCTATTTGAATAACAAAGACACTTTTTAGGATAAACTGCTATCTTACTGTGAACCCGCAAGCCCCGTTCGGGGGTTTCAAAGAATCTGGCATTGGCAGAGAACAGTAAATGATAGTTTCGTTACTATTGTAGGTATAAAATATTTTTTTAGCGGTTTCGAAGGCCTTTCGGAATTT